TTTACAAAAAAACGTTCTTCAATTAGATAACTGTAATAGTTGTATTCAACCGAGTTGATAATAATAACAACAAAAATGGCGTCTGTCAAATTGGATCATCAGATCTGTGATTGGATATTAAAAACCGATACACTTGGCAACTCCGCTCTAGACACGATCAATTTTATTGGTCAACAGACACGCGCCCAATTTAAATTCTTGCTTTTCGAATTGTACTTTTTGATTCTTGGTGATTTCAGTAATGAAAGTTTTTATTACTGTGAAAATTGAAAATACCACACAATGCTATATAGAAATTTTGTGAGTAGGGGAAATCATGGCAAAGACAATTGATGACATCAACTCGCCAGCCTTGTGAATTTTTGGATTTATATTTCAGGTACTGTAGGATGGCGCGTTTTCGACCGGAGGCACCGGTTGACCTGAAGTGATGCTGTGACCGCGTGCTCTCCGCCCTCTATCTCGAAAACGGTTCAACGTATAAAAAATTTTTTCAAACAAAATTTGTAGAGAATTTTGTATTGTACAATATTGATAATAAATACAAATAGCAAAAAACCCAGAGGAAATGAGATATTTCCAAAAAAAGCGCAAAAAACCGATTTTTGTGACCTTTGACCTTGAAATTAATGGTTGTTTACACCCTACCATATGTAGGTTCTGAGATAACATTTAGGGTGTCAATATACAAGTGTTTACAGACTTACAGCTGGGTATCTCGAATTCCGAGGTCTCAGTAAAATGACTTGTCCAATTAGTACAACCTTATTGCCTTTGTCTGCTTTCAGAGAGAAAACATCTTTCTTCCTCAATCGTTTGATAATTATTCTTTTTTTATTTGAGGATTATCATCAGTATTCATCGACAAGTTATATTATATAACGACATGTGATTCATCAGAGTTGTCATCATCAAAAGAAAACCTAACCTATATTACTAGATCCTCAATAGAACTCAATGGAAATTTTTTCCTGACTCATTCAAGTTTCATTGCAGGGTTTATAAAAACTACCCTAATGGTTCTAGTGAGTTTTCTTAACCTACTGGGTCCTGCTTCGCTAGTAGAGGCCGCAACCTGTCAGTTTCGCCAAGACCTCGTCATGGGTCAAGAATATTACATTTACAACAGAGAGTATTATGGGAATTATACCCCTTCAACATATTGTACATGGTATCAACAGAGTGAACCTGGTACCAGAATCGTAGTTTCCTGCGAAGACATCGCTATACCAAGCGTAAGTATGCTACTACTTATCATAGATAGATAGATATATTTATTTGATCATGTTATGTATAAAATACATTTATAACAAGTCAGACAAGTCTATAAAATAAAATAAACAGTAAAATTTTGTAACAAGTTTACAGGGTATATTAACATATTCAAATTAAATGTGGAGGTTCGGCGAGCATCTTCCTTGCGTCAAAAGTGTGTAGACACACATCTATTAATTTCACTTCAAAATGAAGTATTCATGCATCAATTTCATTATCTCAAATTTCAGTTTTTTCGAGTTGACCTGTTCAAAAAATAAAAGGGGGGACATTGAAGAAATGCACTGTATAGCTTGTTGAAATAATATTTTTTATTCATCAGATGTATCTATGGTATAAATAAGGACAACATTGTATATATATTTAGTTCGATCTTCCTCCTGAAGATGATCACTTGGTAAACGAAACACGTGTTGAAGTTTTGGTGTTGGGATAAAACTACAGTAATATCTACTATGAAATAGAGGACATTGGCAGATCAAGATCTGCAGATGATGTGGTGCTGCAGGTTTTCCTACAGCTGGAAGAGTAAATGCGTCAGTGGAGTTAATAAAGTCATTTCATACTTTCATAATTTGTATTACTTTCAATAAAACTGATTTTGTTGCAAAAAAAGTACTGTATGTATATATCTATATGTATTTATTCATTTTTCTGTATTTCAGTCAACTAATTGTGTAGGTGATAAACTATCCATATCATTGAATGGTGACCTCAATTTCAGAGACGCTAAAAATTATTGTGGGACCGGATCAGTAAGTTTGGTGACGAATGGAAATAGTCTGGCTGTAGGTGAGGAAAATCAATACATTCATCAATAACTTTCAGTTAAAACTTTTCATTCCCCTTCTGTAATGAGAATTTCGTTTGTTTCAACATTTACAATCGATTTCAAATCTTCCCTTTGGCTCGAGATCTTCAATACATGAGAATTTTATCATGTAAATTTCATTGATTAGTTAGGATTTTCACTTTGTACACTTGTATAAAGTTTTTTCAATTGTTTGTAGAAGGTAAAGACACTCAAAACAAAACTGAAAACTTTCCTTCGACATGCTATAATGACTTGCTAGATAGAATTGAAATTCTATTTGAAACATACTGTTGTATACTTTGTTAAGCAATGATCACTTGAGTGGAAATCAGGGGAAAATAGGTATAATTAGTCATTAGTTATCAACATATAAATCAAGGTACAATATACAGGGTATGTTATTTCATACAGGACTCTTCGCAACGTACAATTCAAAAGGCGGAAGATTCATATGTACTCTGACAGCAATTCAAAATCCGGATGTCACAACTACACCAGCACCACCTTCAGTATGCGATTGTGGCTTGAAACAAACGGTAAGCAAAATATCAACGCTAAGAAAAATATACAGGGCTCTACAACAAAGCATTTTTTTCAAATAGTTTCATCTTCCAAATTATTTCATGCTTTCGTTCAATTGATATAGTTGTGANCAATAAAATTGCATATAGAACAAGTAATACGTTGGGAAAGTTAGTTAAGAAAAATAATAAAGACAAAACATCCAAATTCGAGAAATCAGGAGTATATGAATTGAAGTCTGGAACATGTCCTATGGTATATATTGGTCAAACTGGCAGAACATTTAGGAAACGAATCCAGTGTTAGCGAAACATGTTGTGATCAGTGTTAAGTAAAGAATCATCAGTTAAGATCAATTAAGAAATGTCTTAAATTCCTTGCAGTTGCGTATCAAGAAACCCAGATTTCTCATTGAAGTTGATGAAGTTGATTGGAAAACGCGAGTTTTTGATCAAACAAAACCCCAGATAGTTCAATTCAGTGATTCGCGTTAAACTTTCACCATCTAGTACATAGTTGAATGTTACCGCTAATATTTTACGTGTGAATGTCATTATTTCACATTTATTCGTGTTTAAATAAATACACCAGTTAGTCAAAGAATTTATGTCCTCCTGCAGTGTGAAAAAGTCTGCTTCATCTTGGATTTCACGATATATTTTCATGTCATCTGTAAATAGCAATTTATGACAAGTGATATCATGAGCAATGTTATTTATAAATGGTATGAATAATAATGGTCCAAGATTAGACCCTTGTGGGACACCCGAACTCGCTACAAAGCAGGAGGATTTTATACCACCACATTCAACATAGCTACGTCGGTCGGATAAATATGATTTCAGGAGCAACTGACTATTAGATGATATGCCAAAATTTGACAGTTTCAACATTATCAAGTTAAGCCTTGGCTAAAATAGCATTTTTTTCGCCAAAAAACAATGCTATATCAACATGCGAGAATCCTCTTCAGCAAAAGTTCTATCTCACAAACTAATAGTTCAACAGCTGTGAAATTTGTGCGCGTATATTTTGAAGGTTAGGAGTAACTAATCATCATTTGGATTTAATGCTAGTAGCGCCATCTGTATGTTAATCTATGAACTTTTCAGGCCATCTAGTATTTCCGTAGTTCACCTACTTGTATAATTGAATGAAACAAATGAATCTAGTTGACCTACGTTGAAAAAAACATGATTTGATAAAATGCAATTGTTTTTTTGTCCAGTTGAGGATCGTAGGAGGAAACGAAACGTTGGTCAATGAATTCCCCTCCATGGCCGCTTTGGTGGACGTTCAAGTTGTAGATGTTGTTTGTGGAGGAAGTATCATTTCGAGTCGATATATAGTAACTGCCGCTCACTGTCTTCTCAACGTACAGAGGGAAAATTTGGGTATTCTTGTTGGTGACCACAGTATATCTTCAGGTAAATACTAGAAAAATAGCTTGTGGAAACAATCTTCCTTGCAAAGCATCTCAAATTTTGTATGACATGATATATACTTTGACTACATAATCACTTCGACATATATTCTTTCTGGCAAATAGCTTCAGAAGTGTTTTAATTGCTTGACATATCTAGGCGTTTTTCCGTTTTTCATAACCGTGTACAATGTGACATCTTTCAGGCACTGATACAGTTGGGGCAGCCCTCTATAAAGTATCAGCCTGGGAAATGCATCCAAATTTCAGGCACTCACTACTAGTAATAATGTAGATATCACTTTTAACATAAAAATGAGAAATAGAAACAGCATTTTTAACCATTTCTCAATTCAATATCAGACAATGGAAGTCCGAACTGATGAATTTCATAAATGACACTATAATCATAACTTGTGAATTGTAGTACAATTCCATGATAGTAGGTACTGAATTTTCAGAAATATTAATGCATTTGAATGAAAACATTTTTATCAATGTTGTGATTCTATATATTTTATCAATATTTTTCCTCATCTGTGTAATATAATTTCTGTACGCCACTGCATGAGACAGATACTCATTTCTGAGAATTTAGTGCTTAATATTTTTGGAATTATAGTATAAACTGATACTTACAGTATTTCTAGAAACCGAAGCTCTTTCAATATGGGCTCCACAAATAAGTCACAACTAACTTATCTCTCTGATCCAACATAAATAAAGTTTCTTTCAAAGTGTCCTCTCTCTAATAAACGGCACTTTTCGAAAGGTAATGCCAAATAAAGAAAGATGTATTATAAAGCTACTATACTATAATATACAAGAAAACTTTGGATATTCATGAATTTATTAGCAATGGCGTGTTTTTTCATCGGTCCAAGAAATTGATAAAAAATAAATCTTTGAAAACAAAAAAACAACAAAAAGACTCCTCTTCAAATTCATTTTTCTCCCAAAGATTAAGATGTACACTCTTGTTCTCTATAAATCTGATGGAAATATCTCTGACAAATATTCTCAGAAGTGATGAAAATTCAATTGCTTGAAATGTTTTGGGGTTTTTCTAAGAAATGTAAATTGTTCGATTCATTGATTTTTTACAGAACTTTTTCATACCCCTGTACAATCTGACATCTTTCAGGCTTTGATACAGTGGCGACATACCTTTATAAAGTATCAGCCTGGGAAATGCATCCAAATTTCAACTCCGAAAGCCTAGTTAACGATATAGCCCTATTGAGGACGACTCAAGATATTCGTTTTAACCAATACGTGAGTCCAGTCTGTCTGCCTTTTAGATACACGTCGTCGAGTTTTCTTGGGGAAACATTGACTGCAGCAGGTAAGCTCTTTTGGTCACATTCAGCTTCATATTTCATCTATCCAAACATTGTTTTCCATTGTTGCAAATCTCCATAGTTTTNCGTTGGAGTGTATCCAACAGGCGTCAGTGCAGGAATCTCCACAGAAAGTTTCCTGCATATGCAATTGGCAATACAACTGAAAGAGTCGACCTTCAGTTTCGGAACAGGCACACTTGCAGATCGGTTCCGGGCTCATTAGCCACTCATCAGTGCATGATAGTGGTCATCATCGACCTAATCCATAAATGAAAATTGGAATTCTTTCAGAGTATTTCATTCCTCTTCCTAAGTTGGAGCGAACAAGAAAATGCCACTCGATCTAGTGGATGAGGTACTAGCCAACTGCATATCCGAAATGTGACCGATTCCTCTGAATAATAAGAAACAATAAACTTAGATGAAAACAGAAAATTGGTAAACTACAAAAAAATGGAAATGCCATAGACACCATCAACAAAATTATTACTCCATGAACTTGTTATACAAAAATTTCATACCATTTTTGTCTATAGGTTGGGGTCAAGTTTCCTTCACTGGACCAGAATCAAATGTACTTTCAAAGGTTGACCTTAAGGTCATTTCCAACGAAAGGTGTACCCAAGAAAATTATGGTAAGGACATCACTGGTGGGCAGATATGTACGTTTACCCCAAGAAAGGATGTTTGCCAAAGCGATTCTGGAGGTTAGTGTATGTGTAATCTGAAGATTTTTCCTATTTTTCACATATGTCCAAGACGACTGTGTTATTAGTATGAGGAGGACTTGTTTCCTGGCAGATATTTGCTTTTACTTGGGATGGTGAAAAATTCAAATATTATAGAACGTATAATATGAGTTATTCAACTCGTTCAGCATTCATTTCTCAATAACACTTTGAAAATAGTCGAAAAAAAAACTAATTATTACCGTTTATTGTATGATTTTCAGTATAAAGGGTATTACAAAAACCGCGACACGCGTTTCGCTATACAATAGCATCCTCAAGGGTAAACGCTAACCGATAGCTTCCTCAAACTTAAACGCTAGTGAACCACGAAACACGTATCACCGTTTTTGTAAAAGCCTTTATTGTGAAAATTTTTTGCCAAAAAAATTATCCTATCAAATTTGTCTATTTCTAGTCATGTGTGTCGAAATAACCAATGAAACCATCATTACACTGATAATTATCCATGGATAGTTTTCACGGGTAGTTATCACTTATGTCATGACATTGCTAAGCAACCAACACAATAAAGTTGTTTGACATTTCAGTAATTCAATTTATTTCGAAATGGATCGGAGTATTTGCATCAAATTTTGTGTAGAAATAGTAGAATTAAGTGCTCACAAACTTGAAATATTGACAGTGTCATACGGTGATTGTACCCCGAGTCAAAGAAATGTTAACAAAGCAGCGACAAAGAAAATTTGCACGCTATTATCTGAAGTGAACAAAATGAAAAATTTATGGATCTTACAGGTCCTCTATTTTGGATGGATACTGCTAAAAGAAGACTTCAATTGGTAGGAGTAATTTCATATGGGCTAGGTTGTGCAACCGCGAGACCAGGTATCAATACAAGAATCACCTCCTACATTTCTTGGATAGTTTCAAGAACGACAGGTGAGATATTGAGTTTTTTCAACCTTCTTTGAGTGTTTTCATCTTCCACAATCTGAAAAATATGTATACCCCGATGAAATGGTTAGGTATTTCGCTGTCGGGGTTTTCAGTATCACTATTTTTCGGATTTGAAGGCCGACGGTCTTTGGAATTCCTTCCTGACGTTTCGCTTGCATGAGTGGCTAGCTTCTTCAGATGTTTGTACATCCTGGATTTATCTTCGATCGGATCGAAATCTGCCTTCGTCTTCAGAAATGGCCGAAATTCAAGTATATGCACAGTTTCACCTTTTGCTGATTCTTTTTATATCTAATCCTACCCGACAGATGCCAAAGGAGTTTTGAAATGTTGATTATGCCAGATTATGCCAAGTACCATACATTTTTAGGAGCGGTTTGAAATACACTTCTCTCCAGATATGAAAATATACAGTTTGCGTCGCTCAAAGTGGGATTGTTTGGCAATCATTCTCGTCTTGTTCCAATCAACTAAATGTTCACTGTGTGACTTCAAAATATGTTCTGACAGTTTTGATCTTGTTAATTGTCAACTTTTGATGTGATCCCGATGTTAATTACCACGAACTTAATGGTCCCGAAGTTTCACCAATATAACAGCTCCTCAAAAAGTATGACTAATCACAACATTTATCAATTCTAAGGACATACGAAGTCCGCCTGTAGATCAAGTAGCTCATACGGAAGTAAAACTGTTTGCACGGATATAAGAAATCTTAGTTTTCTAAGTGAATATTATATTATGTATTCTTCACCTAATGCCCAAATCTCCATTGGATATTCTTTGAGGAAATGTTTCAACAACAACAACAACTGTTTTTATAATCATCTACTTCTGACCTGATTGAAAATAAAAATATTTCTATTTTTCAGATGCCACATATTGCATCAAATGAAGAAACAAGAGCGATATTCGTTGTATATACATAATTATAAAATAAAGTTTATCAGTATATGGTCTGTTTTTTATGCTGCAGGCAACTAGTGATGCAATCGAACCCAGGTTTGTGTTTAATGAACCCTACAAAATACAGAATGCAGAGTTAGATGCTACAAATGCAATACGCATATATACAGACGGCTCAAAAACCAAGGCTCAGGATGTGGAGTGAACTCCAGATCACTAAAACTAAGGATTACGTGGGTAATGGGAAAAAATACCAGCGTGGTTCAAACAGAACTGGCTGGTATATCAACCGTCACAAAAGAAATAACCAGGAAAGGAATTTCTGGCAAAGATATAACACTGACTGCTGTAAGACAGCAGACAAGCCCTATTAGCCTTGAACAGACAACGTGTAACTTCAGGGCTAGTATTCGAGTGTCACCAAGATTCAGCCAAAGCCTGGGTAGATAATACGATTATCCTAAGGTGGGTTAAAGGGCATGACAGGAGTGCCGACTCTTTAGCCAAAGAAGCAGCTGGACTAAACTAGAACCCAGTGGCACTTACGATAACTAACTTCGACAATTGCGGAACTAGCCAAAAGTCACACCTATGCTCAATCTCTGAAGAGATGATATGTATTCAAAGGATGCAATCTTGCCAGGATCACCCTGGGCGACCCTGTAAGGCATGTCCTATGCAAATGTCCAGAGTTATCGTCAATAAGAGAGTGTGTGTTCGGCGAGTCTTGGCCTACACCTGCCGATATGAAGGAGATGTCTCCAAGTGACTTGTCCGCCTTCCTGGAAAGGACATGATGGACGATGACCTAGGAGGACAACTCCTCGGGAGGATGTACAATGGGTCACATGTGGCTTAAGTGCTGTGGGCTTACACTCACCCTTCCCACTCTACAGATACAGACAGATGGTCTGTTTTACTGAAAAATGCCCCACGACTATCAAATATGAAAGATAAGAAGAATATGTTTCCTTGTAGCCAACCTACTATAATCTAAGGTAAGCAAAGCTATATCGATAGACAATTTACTGGCATGATAAAAAACAAACTGAAGAGTTCACATCGAATAGTTACTGCTGAATATAAACGTCTGCCTACAAATTGAATTATCAGTGGAAGAAAAATATGAATGGGAAGAAATTCACATACTTAGATTTCTGTAAATGGTTTCAAATCAAATCAAAATATGCTTCATTATCTGAAGATTCATATCTTATTGACAAAGCTTGGTTGAAATAATTAAATAAAACAATTAAACAAACAAAATTACATATATAAAACCACAAACTATACAATAATATACAATTTCAAGTAGATACTGAAAGTAGGATATGTAACAAAATAGGACATAAAAAAATAACAGCAACAGTTTGTATTTACTTATCACAATAAAACACTTTAGGAAAATAGCCAGTAATAATGTATTTTGAAAATTTCCAATATTGATCACATGAACTGTATTGAGAGTCAGACACAAGTCAATCAATCAATCAATCATGCTTTATTGTCCAAGAAATGTTTATTGACAAAGCTAGTGAAACTTTATGAAGTCAACATTGTTATAAAAATTCTCTTCTGAAAACGTCTCAATCGGAACCAGGCATACTACATGGACTAAAAAGTTTCGGGTCTAACACATAGATGGCGATAATCTCATTGCATTCATCGCTTTTTCAGTTAGTGATTACCTTGAAATTTCATGATATTCTACGCATGAGTATGTGAGTTATTGTGCTGAGAGTGACATTACTTTTGTTGTTTTCAAAACAGAAAACAAAAACAATTTCGTGTTTCAATTTTATACTGCTTCTTGATAGGAAAAATACCGTTCAAACGAAGTGAAGGCTTGAAAAGTGTTATAAGGATTCCGCTTCATCAGAAACGCTCATCGTGAAAGACCCTGTATTATACAAACACTGATACATACACATAATAATCAACAAAACATATACTGTAAAATTCTAATTGAATTGGCAGTGTGCCGAGAGTTGAAAACACAGTATTTCACCCTTATGGGTTATAATTACATTGTGATTAAGTTGCATATAAATTGCCTTTTTCTGAATTATAGGTATACTTGAAGCATCCAAACGAAACAACAAAAATATCACATTCTGAATAGAAACTATTATGAATTTTACAGATGTTATAAACTGGGGATTTTAATAACACATTAATTCTTGGTATAGGCAAATATAAGAAGATTTCGTTTCTACTACTTCGTCTCGGTACATGAAAATCTAGTTGAGTTAACGAATCTGGGCAGTCTACCAGATTATGAATCAATTCATATATGAAGATACAAGCAAAATATGTTCTTCTGTTTTCTAAGAATGAGAAGGCGAATCTGTTTAGCAACACTCTATTATCAATTTCTTGGGATGGGTAAGCTCCATCCAGTTTGTGAGCTATACAGGGTGATTCAAAAGTACTCTGACAAACTTCAGGAGGCGATTCCTCACAATATTCTAATATGAATTGTCTTTGTGTATGGCTTTTCAGTATATTGAGTAATCGAAACAATTTTCTAGTACCATTTATTTTTTTCAATACCTTGTACGTTGCTGAAACTCGTATTATGGATATCGATAACTAAACTGGGCAATTTATTTGTCGCAGATAAGAAAAAATCAGCTTGAATAATTGTTCTCTCCCGTCCAGTGAAGATAAAAAAAATATTAAAATTAAAAGAAATAATTACTAAAACCGTTTGATATATAAGTCGTGTTAAGGAAACTGTTAGCAGTTATCCAAAGAGTTGTATCGGTAGGTTTCAACTTACTGAGGACAAAATTGGCAATGGGTGAGCATATTCAACATTTCATTTTCGTTTATCTACGAAAAAAAATTCATTTGAAAATTGTTGAGGTTTCTTCGAACAAAAAACCATTTAGTAGTATTTTCTACTGTGATCAATGTTTCCAGATTTGAGTATCAGTGAATACCCACTACACACTCAAATTTGTCTCTTTTACTACCTTTTCATGTTCATCATTTGCATATTTTCTCACAGACTAGAAAAAAGCAATCGATTGAAGTTAAATAAACTTGAAAATGGTGCTTCAACAAGATTACAGAATTTTTCAATATTATAAAAGTATTCAGCCATGCTTTAAGAGTTACCCAAATAGTTTTCTTCCTTATACGAGGAATTGGTCAAATTTTGGATATACGGTTGGTTACCTCGTTCACAGGCAGATGGGGCGATGACAAACCTGTTGTTTGTTGTCCTTGTGTTGCATTTCAG